TTTACGATCTACAATGGGACGATTAGTGGATTAGAGACGGGATTTCGGTATCACATGAAAAACATCAAAAATAGAAATAAGACGGCAGGTGTAAAATATAAAGTAGACACAAGAGAGTAGTTCAAACAAATTAAAAGATCAACAATAGTCTAGACAACAACACACGGGTCACGCGCATCGCTAAGAGAGTAAATTGATAAGGACCCTGTGGTTATAAATGACGCTCGGAAACATTAATCTATCAATATCTGTTTCGACCATGACCGCAGCCGAAGCGTCACATGGTCGATCTGCAAGAATAGTAACGCATCTCAGTCACTGTCTTCGTACTTGGCACTCGAGATAATCGTCAATAACCTTCACAACACGTTTGTATATCCAAATCACCCAGAAGCCTTCCACAATGATGTGAAAATATTGGTAGCAGAAAACATTTAGCGTCAACTGATCCTACTACTGACTCCAATCATGCACTGGTCTGCTCGGATACCTGCGAATCCGCCAACACATAACTGAGGTGCTGCCCCAGCCAACACCCGCCACGCAAGCCTTCCTGCCCAAACTATACCCAGATGCACCTATCTGGTCATTTATGTACAAATGACAACAATCACCAAAATGCCACCTATCATTTAATTCACAGAATCCTCGCATATTCAGTCATTGCATGGACCTAAGGATCATTTTTGCATATACTAGGCCCATCCATCACTCGCATGTCAATTATACAGTTACGTCTGCCAAAGGTAACAATGACAGATGAGTCAGAAGAAGAAAGGACATTCACCGGGAGAGGTTTATTTTGTATCTGACGTTTCGGGTAGTTGTCTCGTCTATTCATCTTCAGAGAGTGAATAATCTGGCTCCTGGCTCTCGCTATATGCCGAATCAAATTTTCATTACTATTACAATGACAGGTAACTTGTTCGACGTATCTCTGTGTACACTCGTGGCTCGCGATAGCCGAAGGCCTTGCGCCACGCTAGACACACTGTCCAATCTCATTATTAGTCGGTCGATGGAGCAAAAAGGGTTACTGCTGAATGCCACAGACGGGGTTATGAAAAGTAAGAGGTGCCATTTCTGATGAAGGATCAGCGCAAACCTCACAAGGACATATCTGACGCACTCAAACCTATTTTAAGCGAAAATGCGAGTCCTGGGAAATAATTGAGAAGAAGACAATTCGATCACTGGGTCAACACTTTTATTCGCCTGACGGGTAACATTTGCACATATGCATCCGTTTCTGCTATTGCTTTCTTACTCATGTGTCTGATGAAGAATCCGCGACGGATATAGAAATGTCAGGCGAATAAATGTGTTGCCCCAGCGATCGAATCGTCTTCTACGCAAACCTAATATGACGCGCTGGTTGTTACTTGGACTGCTGTCCAGAACGCGATGAGTCGTGCCTACTCAGGGTTGTGGGTCAGGCTGCAATGACTTCTTCATCGTATGATGTTTTTCGTATCCTCAATTGTGTGACGGCCAAGACTATGCACAACAAAGATCCGTATATGTGGAATTAGGGACCAAGTCGTGCGCAATTTTTGTTAACCAATGCAGCCACGCCCAACTTTGTTCACCTTGACATTGTCTTAGCATAGGAACGCGGGCAATGGGATTAGAGATTTTAAATCTGTAGATATGGAGGACCACAAATACAAGAAACTTGTTCGAAAATTGCAGTGAAAGTGAGGATCGGAAGGGGCAGTAGAGAGGTGAACATAAACAGTGGATACGATCCTACAATTTATTTTTGGATGCGTCAATCGGTTGATGTCAGCGTACGACGATCGGCAATCACAAGATTAAGCTACCTACTGAATGCTGTAGAAAAGACGCTGTTATGCATACGATGGAGTACAGTTCTCTTAGAACACAAAACGACCATGTTTCTGGTGAGAAATGGTATGGGAAAGGCCTTTGAAGGCTGTGAAATCGTCGACTCGATATTTTCACATATGCAGAGAGACTGTTGTTTTCAACTTTCTATAGAGTAAACATCCGGGAGGAAACGAGATCGGAATGCCTTACCCTGTTGCTAAGTTTTTATGTAACGTGCACTATTTAAACCTGTGGGCTCTTGGCCCTATTTATGTGTTGTTTAAATTTATCAATAACCAAT